TTCTGCTTTGAATTTTTCTAGAGCCTCATTCATCTGTTTTGTTACTTCCTGTGCTATCAGTTCAGGTTATCCAGGTGGTTGATTATCAGACTTTTGCACCTCATTTCCCCCAGAAATTGTCTTTTGTGGGGTGGAAGTCTGGGTTTGTGACTTGCTTAAATGCCTTGTCATTTTTGTTTTTGGTACTGTCCCTGGTTTAGTTCCTGAGTTGATATTATGAAGTTTATTGTAAGTATCTTTGTTGATCTATTTAAAACCCTTATGGAATGATTACTTCTCAGAGTTGTCTTCCAGATATAGCTGGTCTTTAGGTTTTGAGTCTATAATGACTCTGAGGCTATCTCATTTTTATTATACCAGGAAGGAAAACTGTTTAGATCAATCACGACACCTTAGCCCAAGTCATACAATCAGCAACACCGCAGCATCAAATACCTCTTAAAGAATGACAAATTGTGGTAGTTATTAATCTATCACCTTTAGCTGTGTGACTTAAAGTAAGATCGAGGACCAACCCAACATATAGTGAATAAAGTCTTCAATATAACAACTTTACCCTTTGGAATGGGGAGTTTGAAGGGGTTGGGGAGGGAGGGATAGATGGGAAGAAGGATAGGGGAAGGTTAGCAGTGTGGCCAGAGGACACAGGTGAGAAGGAAAAAGAGAATAATAGGAAAATAAAGAAGAACTCTGAATGAGGACCAAGACAGGGACAAAAAGGGAAGATGAACAATGTGGGAGAGCAAGAGAGTGAGTGTAAGAGAGAGAAAGGAAAGAGAAAAGAAGAAAAGAAAAGAAAGAAAAGGAGAGAAAAACAAATATTTGCAAAGCGTAGGGAAAAAATTAAAGACAAGAAGAGCAAAAGAAAAGAAAAGACAAAAAAACCAAAATAATAAAACTAATTTTAGGAATAAAAAATAACCATGAAGATGAAGGGCCTCTTTTAGACCTGCCTGTCTGTTGTCACAATAGACAATGTGGCTTGCAATGTGAAGATATAAGTTAATGAGTCTCAGCAAGCTAGTTGCAGACCCGTGAGATTCAGGCAGATTTCTGGCTGCAAGTCCCAAGTTGAGCTCCCTGTCCTCCTGTAGGGTTGAACTCTGCAGAGTTGTATTGCAGGTTCCAGCTGCCCTTCCCCTGAAGATATTCCCGGTCCTGATGGGAGGTGAAGGTGACTCCAACTTACCCAGTACAGTGGTCTGGTGGTCTGGTGTCCTCTGCGTCTTTGTAGTGTGGAACCAGGTGGCTGTACAGAGGAGCAGGGAGGGGTGTCCAGTGGATTGCTGCTGGGGCACATTCGGCGTGACTGGCGATGTTGCTGCAGTGTCCACAGCCCTGCCTGTCTAATCTTCAAGTTTTTTAGCCAAGTTTTCCTTCCCCATTTTCCCAGGGCTAGTTCAAATTCTATCACCTGTGTAAAACATGACTTCCCCAGTCTGAAATGAGCAGTGTTTTCTTTGAACATTGATAGTCGTTTTTTTTTGCATGCTCATTCAGACTCATAAGTGTGAGTCTGAATTGTCTCATCTTGCTTGTTGTCTTATATAGGATCTTGAAATGTTTAATGCTAAATAAAGCCAACAAACATTTATTGAACACTCACATTGTCCTAATCTCTGCATAAAGTTTTCATGTATTCCACTTTTCACAACTGGATTTTAAGGTACTTTAAGGAAAAGATAGATATGTACTTCTGGGTTTCATGAATGATTCCTTTACATAATAAAATGTGACAGTGAGTGATTATTTGATTCATTATTAATACTAAGAACAAGTTTAAAGTGTCACTTTCATTTTTAGAACCAGTCTAGCACTTGTCTGTGATAGCTGGATCTCTATATATTTCTTTAGTTTGTTTTCACATATTTTGACTTATTTCTCCTCTATCAAGGTCTTCCCTTCCCTTGCTGAGCTTTTTCACAGATCCTTTAGAAAAATTTACCATTTCATATACATGTTGTCATTGTAAGATTTACCTTTGCAGTGACTTATTGAGTGTTTTTTTTGTGTGTGCTGAGGATCAGTGTACATGTTAGTCAGGCACTCTACCGCTGGGCTATATCCCTAGCCCCCACTTCGTTTTACTTTTTGAGAATCAAGATGAAAAGAACAGAAATAGAATTTCCATTATGCATAATAAATTTGATTTCTAAAAATGGCTGGAGCTTAAATCTAGCATCAGCCTAGCACCAGTGGAGGGTATTGAGGATATTTTGAAGAGGCATTTAGCACTCTGAAGCTTTTCTTAGAAGGTGGCCTTTGCAGAGACTTGAAGGAATATGTGGTAATATGTAGGATGTTTCTTGTGAGAGCCCTTTTACTTGATGGAGTGGAGTCGATAATTGGAATGTTAATTTTAAAAAATCGGTAAAGTTCTATGTAATTAAATAAGAATGTGCATATAGCTGTTTTGTTATAAAGCATACGTTTCTTCACCTGCAGTTGATGCTGGTCCAAGGCCCTTTTCAGCTGACTGAAGCTTTGTGTCATCCTTACTGTATGAAATATGCCCATAATCGATCCTATCTGTGCAGTAAGTCCAATTTGGATTTCATCAACATGAAACAATAATTTAAATAACTCATGAAACCACCTAGCACAGAATAGTAGTTTTTTACAGTTCACTTGTCTTTTAACATTATCTAACTCATACCTAATTTGACAGCCACATTTTAAAAGTGACTCATCACCTTTGTTGTATCTTGCCAAAGCATCCAACGTAATTTTTACCGAAAGGGCAACTCTCTTTTAACTGGTTTGCATACTATTTAATTGAAAAACATGTACTGAGTATTACAAGAGGAATTGACAGTTTTAGAGAAGAAAAAGAACTGACTTTTGGATGCTAAGCATACAGCTCAATTTAAGGGAGCATACATGTGAAGTTGACCTGGACAGTTACCTGTTAGCCAAAAATATTGCTTCTGTTGGTATCAGCCAGTCTCTTTGCAGAGGTGATGGGGGAGTTGATAACAGTTCTGTCAGGTCTGTTAGGAGACCTACTGGAGGCCAATAGGGGTTGAGTGCACAGTGGAAATGGGCTTTTGTAATTAATTTTATACTTTTCAAAAGGTCCATTTTCCATGAATAACATGCGTTTTTACAATCTAACAGAAGATAACTGTTATTCAATGAGTGCCTGAAGAAAATCAGTGTTCAACTAAGAGCTCTGTGTAGTTTTTCTCCAAGTAGAGGTCCCCCCTTCTCACCATCCCTACCTCTTCTTGGCATGTGAAGCACTTTGCTTATTCCTTTATTTTAGCACTTCTCATATGGAGTTAATTAACCTGTTTTCTTTTTCTCTGAGCACTTCCTCCAAGGAGCTTTTGTACACAATGTCTGATCCGTAGTTGGGCTAGCCCAACAAATTGAATGAAAGAGAAATTCTGGCCACTTGAATAGATGTCACAATCCAATCTTGCTGAGATGTAGTTTTCATTGATTGGGCCTAGAAAAATAAGCTGTCATTATCTCTAAGTTCAGTGCAGGAAATATTTTAGTATATTTATGCTCAATTGAATATATTCCATATATCTAAGGTACTGTGCTGTGTCTACAAAGTCCTGAGTCGGTTCTTGTCTGTGGATGTGTATATTAGGAGAGGGGGTTAATTAGAGCCTAGAGGAACAGTGGATGGACCTGAACTGGACTGGGAATGGTAACAACACCTAGGCTTTTTCAGCAGATATTTACTGTTTTGTGGCATTTGATAGTTTAGATCTCCCTCAAATTCCTTTCCTTTTTGTCACACATGCCTTGTCTTCCCACTTGGTTTTTAGCCTCCTTCCCTAGCAATATCTTTGTTTTCTTTAACAGTCTGCCTTTAGCCATCTTCCCCCTCTGTCTAGGGTGGAATGCTTTATTGTTTTAACCCCAACCCTGTGCTTCTGGAAATATTCCTTCTCACTCTACATATCCACAATACTTCATCAAAATCCCTCTTATAGCACTCATATGCATAACATGTCCTGTACTGGACTGTAATTTCTTTTTTTGGGGGGTACTGGGGATCGAACTCTGGACCTTGTGCTTGTGAGGCAGGCTCTGGAACCACTGAGCTAAATCCGTGGCCCTGGACTGTAATTTCTTGAGGGCAAATTGCATCTTTGTAGTTCTTAAAATATCTAGTATATCATTTTTAAGCAGTAGGTGCCACATACCATTCTCTTAAATTTAGCATTGTTCCCCAGATTTGCTCCCTCTTCCAGGCTTTCCTTTTTTCTGTTCATGTTACTAGAGTTTTCCCTTGAATTCCACATTTGGTCAGCAAGTTTTGTTGCTTCTGTATTCAAGTTTTTTTGAACTGGTTATGGTGGTACATGCCTGTAATTCTAGGGCTTTGGAAGGCTGAGACAGACAGGAGGCTCACAAAGTTCAAGCCTAGCCTAGGCAACTTAGCAAGACCCTGTCTCAAAATAGTAAAAGAACTGAGGATATAGATCAGTCTGAAGGCTCTGGGTTCAATCCCCAGTACTACTAAAAAAAAAAAAGAAGGAGAAAAAGGTTTTTTTAGCTACACCATTCTTTCTTTTCTCATCATTGCATGCCAATTAGAAACCCAAATATTTAGTACATATTGTGTTCTAAGCACTCTGTGGGTGCTGGGTATACAAATATTCGGATTCAATCCCTTGTTCTTAGAATACTAGTGGGGGAGAGAGAGAAACTTACTTTGATACTTTATTGAGCAGATGGTTCATGACTGTCTTCTCTGTGCTAACTGTTGCAGGAATGGATATACTGTAGTGAAGAGTCCTTTTCCACAAGCTGCTCAGTTTTGAGAAGAAGCCTAGAAAATACAACTACTGGATTTCCTCTGTTTTAAGGTACGTTTTCTTGCCATGTTTTAGCATTTCTGAAATCTACATGTCTGAACTCTTGCATGTATGTTTAATGGAGTTTTTAAAAGAGCTATTAAATTGTTAGTGCTTACAAGTAGAGTCTCATAACTAGAGAACTATACTTATCCATGGTAAGTATCGTGACAGATGTACAGAATTGCATTGTCGTATGATAGCTACTAGCTATGTGCGGTTACTTAAATATAAATAAATTAGATATTACATTTAAGCTCAAATTACTTAAAAGATTCAGTTCCTCAGTTTCACTCGCCACAATTCATGTATCCATGTCTCTATTGGACAATGCAGAAATAAAACATTGTCATGATTGCAGAATGTTGGTAGCAGTAGTCTAGGATGTGTTTCCATAGTTGTGCCTGGAGGGTTTGAAAAGCTTTAGTTACTTCCTGGCATTATTACTATATGTATTTATTCCTTCAAGGGGGTCAGGGAATTTATTTTTAGTTTTACCAGGGCATGGAAGAATAAACAGTAGATACCCAGACAAAAACACTGGAGTGATAAAGAGTTTGAATACAAAGGGGGATGCTCCACATTTTCATAACAAGAGATAGCCTTTTAAAAAACAGATTTTCTTGCATTGAAAATTTAAGAACTTTTGCCTAAGTTCACATCACTTATCAAGTGGGATTCAGGGAGATCCATTATGTTAGAAAGCTTATGGTTTAACAGGATACACCACAATTAAAATTTCCAAATTGGATAGTCAAGACTGTGTAATTTCTCAAGGAAGATAACGTTGGGCATGATAGATGGAAATACTTATATGAACCATTAACTCCTATGGATTTATTTCTTATTTAGTGAGTGTGGTTTGCAATGGAACGTGGACTAAAGATTTCCTAAATCTTTTTCTTGTTTCCATTTTATTGTGTGGTAAAACATAATTTATCCATTCTCTTGTTCACGATTGTCTAGGTAGTTTCTTGTTTTCATACAAACACTAATAAAAATATGAATGTTGTTGTACAAGTTTTTTGGTGGGCAGATGCTTCTGTTTCTCTTGGGTATATATTGGAGAAGAGGGAAGTTGCTAGGCTATAGCATAAGTACATAATGCCAGTCAGTTTTATGAAGTAGTTGAACCAATTAATGTTGCTTTCTTTTTTATGCTTCAAAATGTTAGTTTGTCATGTATGCAGTTTTTACTATTTATTTCCCTCAGGACCGTTTAAGTCATTAATCACTACCATGTGACAGACCTTTGGGATCACTAACAAGTAAATCTGAAAATAGTACAATAATACAAAATATTATCATTCAAATGGCCTTAAAACAGTATAGAAAGTATTTATTGTGTTCACTTCCTTCATCAGGCAGTCTTGATTGACTTTCAAGACAATGCCCTTTTGAATCAACTTGTTCCTGTCTTTGTAAATTGATTGTGTTGTGTGCTGGATTCCTGTTGCTTTGTGCTATGGATACTAGTGTACTTTGTCTGTCATTGATATCACTCGCAAGTGTGGTGCTGGGGATTGAACCCAGGGCCTTGAACATGCTAGGTAAGTACTCTATTATCACTGAGGAAACTCCTGGTCCTTTGGAAAGTTTAATTCAACCTAGTTCAGCATAATAAATAGGCAAGTTTTGAGCTTAGTTCTTAGTATTTGGAGAGTTCTTTCCAAGCCACTTCCATGTCTAAAGACCAATAAGTGTGTCTCCTGACTTCAAAACCTTGTCTAATGGGGATAGAGCACACATAATGATATAAGACCAAGTATAATTGTCACTAGGATTGCAAGTAAAGTGCCTTGGGACTGCTTTATCACATCATATCACATGTAACTTGGGTTGCAGAGAGGGGATGGTATCCCTTTAAAGCTCCATGGGACAAGGACAGTGTATGAGGTTAATTTCGAAAGAATTTTGATTGTGGTTGTGGTGTACATCAGGTGAAGGGAACTGCTTGATGGAGTCATGAAGTAGGGAAGTGGTTTTCAGAATGTGATCCCCAGAGCAGCAGTATCAGTGTCCCCTGGAAACTTGTTAGAAATGTAAATATTTGGGCCCCACTCCAGACCTACTAATCCGGAAATTCTGGGAAGTCCCAGAAATCTGAGTTTTAACAAGCCTTCTATGTGATTGGGATGTGCTAAAATCTGAGAACCTTGGTTACTTGGCTAGAGAATAGTAAATTGCCCTTGGTTGGAGAGTAAAGATTGAGAAAGGGAATGATAATAACAGAGAGACAGGCCTACTGCAGAGAACTGGAGTACTGAGGTAAATTAGGAGCAGAGGAGTCTTGGGAATTGAAAGGAGCCTGCAGCTGAGTTGCAGCATGGCTGTTATGGGTTGGTCTGGGGATTGGCTGGCCCAGTGTCAGAAAAGAGGGAACTTGTAGCCTCAGAAACAGCTGAGGTTTTGAATCCAGGGATTGGAAGAGGATGGGAGACAGAGGACCTGCAGTAGCCTTGTTGGTGGATGGTGGAGGTTCCATGTGCTTTGGGAAGTGGAATGGGGAAGGAGAATGTTTTCTACATGACTCCCCTCCTCCCCCCAAGCTTAGTGTAGGAAATTTGGACACTTGAGGGAAGGTGAAAGCAGAATCACCTCAAATCCCATTTTCCAGAGATAAACAAAACATCTTTTTGTTTAAATATTTACAAGTATATGTTTCTTTAAATTCAGATTTGTATGCATAGAATTATACAATTCTGCAACTAAATTTCTTAGACAAATGGTCTTGAATACATGTCAGTGTTCCATACATAAAAGAGTGTACCCAGGTCTGTGTGTGCTTGGAAATTGGTAGATTTTGTGTTTGGGAAAGAGAGTGTTTATACAAGCAGCTAATCGGCAAAGATTGCAATTTCATTTTGCATGATCATAATAACATCCTGTGTACATCAGTTTTACAGAGCCAGTCTAGGGCAAGACAGTCTGAGATACCTGAAATGCCAACTATTGGTGTGGGGAGAAGAACTCATGTATAGTTAAGAAGAAAAAGATGAAGCATTGTGGCTTCTATTACAGTGACAAGGTTATTCTGATGTCTTGTAAGACCAATTACTATTGGACATAGAACAGTGTCATCATGTAGGTTAATGTCAACTTTTGAAGTTTTCCTTTTAAATAGGTAGCTGGCTACTAATGAATTTCTTAAACAAATGAAATGTGGAATAGTTTGCCCATAGCTTAGTTTTGTGAAAGATTTTTGTTCACCAACAGAATATATTATCTTCGGGGTGGGGATTTAGCTCAGTGGTTCCACCGCCTGCCTCGCAAGCACAAGGTCCTGAGTTCGATCCCCCAGTACCAAAAAAAAAAAAAGAATATACTATCTTCTATAACATGATTTTTTTACAGATGTTATACCAATTCTTCTACATCAGAATGTACAGCATTTTGTATTAACAGCATTTTGTGACATCATTTACTTTATCAATCCTGTGTTGACTAATATTAGGTTGTTTTTTATTGTTGATTTCCCATTTGTCAAATAATCTCCTTAAAATAAATCTCTAGAAGTGGATTTTCTTTGTTCTTTGTTCTTTGTTCTTTTTTTTGGCAGTACTGGGGATTAATTCTGAGGCTTTCACCCAGAGCTACAACCTCAGCTCTTAAAATTTTTTATTTTGAGACAGGGTCTCATTAAATTCCCCAGGCTGGGCTTAAACTTGAGCTTGGGCTTAATCTGCCTGTCTCAGTTCCCTGGAATTGTGGGATTACAGTCATGTACCACCACACCCTGCTGAAATAGAATTTTTAAATGAAATGGTATTTACTATTTAAAATGTTACCTGTTACCTGGCTTATTCGCCGGAAACCTTTATCTCCCTACCTACAGTGAATGTGAGTTCCCATTTTCCCACCCCTGTAAGAGAGGACTTGCCATATCTATAATCCCAGCTACTTGACAGACTGAGGTAGGAAGATTGCAAGTTAGGAGCCAGCCTGGGGAATTTAGCAAGACTATGTTGTCTCAAAACAAAAAAGGACTAGGACTATAGCTTAAAACTTCCTGCGTTCAATGACTGGCATCACAAAAACAAACAAATAAGTACAGGGAAAGAGAGAGAACATGATATTTGTTAGTTAATCATTACCAGTACGACAGTTTGAAATGATTTGTTTTTTTAAATGACTACCGATGAACTTGGACAGTTTTTCATAAGTTTAAAAAAAAATAATCGTACTTCTCTTGTGAAAAGCCTGGCCAGGGATTTAGCTCAGTGGTTCCGCTGCCTGCCTAGCAAGCACAAGGTCCCGAGTTCGATCCCTGGTACAAAAAAAAAAAATTTATTCTGGTCTTGTGAAAAGCCTATTACTATATTTCTTTGCTTATTTTTTCTTAGGTTGTTTAAATTGTACTGGTTTGAAAGATGCTAGTTTATTAAAATTATTTAACCTTTTTCTCTAAATCATTTTGAAAATCCATCACTCATTGACTTTTTATACTTCTTTATAGTGAGGCATGACAAATAAGGACTATATAAGACATAAGTGAATCTGACACTAATGTAACTTGACCCAGGTGAAGACGTAAGCATTGGAAAACTCCAGTGATGTACCAAAGACCGGGGGTGATGGGCAAGGTCTGCTTCAGGTTCAGACAGTAGCAGTGCATTTTCTATGCAGAATTTAAAATCAATAAGATTATTGACTAAAAACTGGTCTGCTTTTCATTAACAACATATGTAGGCCATTTAGAAAATGTCAGTGTATGTATAATATCTACTCACAGCTTATCTGTTCACTGTCTTTTTGACAAATAGCTCTTAATTTTAATATATTCCAGTTCATCTGTATTTTCCTTTATGGTTGGTGCTTGCTGTATCCACAAAGAGCTGTTCTTCTGTATTATCTTTTAGGAGCATTTGGGTCTATAATCCACCTGAAATTAATGTTTATGTATTATGTGAGTTGGAGGTTGTTTTATTTTGTTTTCCTTAATGGATAGCCAAGTGATAGTATTATTTATCCAAAAGATGAGATCTGCGGTGCCAGCTTTGTTGTATAAGAAG